CTGATGTTGCATTCTTGATGCTTTTTCACCGCAGTTGGGCTAAACCAACTTACACTTAAACTAGGTCTTATGCTGGCTAAATTTCATTCCGCTTTATTTGGTTTGTTCTGCCTCCCTGAATAATGTTCTATTAACTGGCCACGTTGCTTACACTAATTGCGCTTATCTTCGGTAATTTTGTTGCGTTTGTAGCATTTTAAGTAACTTGTGGACATTTCTTACTTATCACCGATTTGTTGCTAACCAACTTACTTCATATGGTAATTTAGCGAAGAGTTATGCCACCGTATCTGTATGCATTATTGGATTTATTTTATTTCAGCTTGTCGTTTATATTGAATCGCTGTTGTTTGATATCCCTGGTATGGTTGCGCTTGATGTGCATGTTGACAAGGTGTCTACCTGTCTATTACCCACTACCTCATCCATCTGGCTCAAGGAGACAGTTGGTCGTTGCTGGAGAGGGACGGGGTGCACGGTCTTTGTGGTCGTGCTAGGCTCGAAGAGTGGTTCCATGCACTCAGTGTGGAGCGGACTACGGTCCATCCACCGCCTTGTGTGCACTTGATTCTCCAAATACAACGTGCTTGTGTTTGCCTGTGCAGGAGTGTGGGCCGGCTCCGTTGATGAAACGTGGTTCCCATCCACATGCCTCCCGGTCTTATTCCTTCGGGTTTACACTGGATATGGGGTGTGTGGATGGAGCTGTGGGTGGTGCAGCGCAAGTTATCCATGGTCCCTCTGTAGGCGCAGACGTCCTGTGGCTGGCCGCAGTGACAGGTAAATTCGAAACCGGATGCCGCCAACCATATATATAGAGGAATAGACATCATTTTTATCAATACATATTAGCCAAAGGTGAGAGACACACCTCAGCCAATGTACCGCCATGTGGATAAGGGGAGAAAGTAATTCAAGTGCCCACCAGTACAAACACTTTTGTAGCCCTAAATGAAGTAGATTAAGTGATGTACAGCTGTTAAGGTTAGAGCGAACCTAACCCGGGTATATCTTGGGTCCGGAGAACTTGAATTCAGATGGCATCACGGAACTTTGTCCGAACTTGTTACTGTACAGTAAAAAGGCAAACCAACAGCATGCGCGCAATTGACTAAAAGTGAGTAGGTACAGAGTCGGGATGTTCCTACCAAACCCAAGAAACTTGTGTTTAGATTGTAGAAGAAAATACTGTTATGTCGCGCCATCCACAAATATACAACACCTGTGAAACTCGTTTCATACATAATCATACGTGTTTCATCTGTCGATTGTCGTGTGCTTTTTGCATTGATCTACCTTTCCTGGGATATTTTGTCCGGTGTGGTTTCAACTCACCAATACACTCTACTAGATCGTTATCGCGTGTTCTGGCATACAACGGCGCATAGTTGGAAGTCTGTAGGAAATCTAACTAACTTGATCCAGCCGTAAGACCAAGGCAATGTGGAACGTAGATGATGACGTTCTCAGCGAAGGTATCAAGCATCATGTACCGCGGTTGCTTGATACCCAAAGCACCCACTACACTCAACGGTGAACGCCTTCGGGTAAGTGTCTGCCCGCGATCTCGAAGTGAAGCATGCCTGTACTGTCGCGTATCTCTCCGAAGGCGCGAAGTCAGGTTGGATTTTAATCAAGAATCCATTTGCATTACGAATAAGCATACCATTTATATGGTGTCACGGATGACGAATTTGGAGAAGTGTAGTGTTTCACGGCTTTGTATGTTCGAACGATTTCCGTTCCAAATTTTCTAACGCTTGTAATGATCGTTTTTATACTATCTCAACGTAGAATATCAAACCGAATTGTAAACATAACCACCGAAATCGTCCCAGTGTGTCGAGCGTCGTCAGGTAGCTCGATTTGTCGGCCAAGACGACATGCCAAAATGCGGAAGCCAGATTAGTCTTTGTGAAGGACCTTGCCTTTGATAAAACTGGCAATATGCCGTATAACGTCGGTAGGCTGCAGCGTTGTCTTCTAAGAGCGATGTTAAGCGGTTGGGATCAATGCACACCCGTAAATCACTGGACGTATCAGTGGCAACTGCCACTTGACTGACCAAATCTGCGGGTTCGTCAACCTTAGCTATGACTCCTGAGAAACTCTTACGCGCAGTACTACAAGTTCCTTTCTAGCAGGTAAGACCATCGTTGCAGCAGACCCGTCTAACGATAGATGTACGCATCCGTTAAACCTTCTACGTAGTTCGTCAAATACTCGACGAGAGCGATGGACGATATGCGTGACCAACTGACTTGAATGTGCAAAGCGCTCCCGCTCAAAAGAAACAAAACCAAATTTCTGACTGGAATCAACGCCCAGAATTAGTACAAAATATATCTGTACCACGACAAACTCGATCCGATGACATGTTCCATCCTGTGAACAGCGAACAAAGATTTTACACGGGTCAATAGGCACTAATTTACAAGCCTGGTTGGCTGATCTGATTGGTTTTCGAAGGATGCTAATTAAAAAATGCGGTTAGTACTTTTACTGTCAAAAGAGTGGACTTATCGTTTTTAATGCAGTAGCCCTGCACCCCGCGTAGTTTCGCAGAGCCAGTAGGCGAAAAATAATAAATCCAACGTATTTCCCGGGAGAAGGACGGAGAGATAGTGCTAAGTAGCAAAATGTGAGTGGCCGAGTGCGTCGTCCACCCGATCTTTAAATGTATTTGTAATGTAGGTGCAGAAACGACCGAATTGGGGAGAGCGTTTCGCGGGTGACACATGCGAACAGAAAAGGAATTTCTATGGTGCTCCAAACGGCTGCACTGTTCTGCTGGCTTCAAGGAGTGACCTCACAAGTTTGTTACTGCTGAGTTGTAGTATAGAGCAGCACACGTGATTTGAATCTTGAGATAGTGATGAAAGTCAGAGTAACCATAGACTGGGAGAATCAAAGGGACACGGCAATCAAATTGCTAACAGAATGAGACGGTCAGTTATAGTTTGGAAGTAAACGGTTTCAAGTACACTGACTAGAGTCACGTTTGCGTGCTATCCCCATCCATGTGCTAGCAGAGACGCGTAGAAGGGTCGATTCACTGCAGGGTGGTTAGAGAAATGTCTAATTAGGAAACCGCAAGAAAGTGCCGATATTATTTTCAGGATGAAAGTGCTGTGTTTCAGCTGATTAATTGAGGAATTAAAATCCGCTTTGTGTGTGTGAAAATAAGGGAAAGATAGGTTTGTGTTGTTGTTGTCCAGCTGGTGTGTGTTAGCCATAGTCACAGTGCAGTGAGGCGCACTTGGAATCGTGTGAAACAAGAGTGGTGGTGAAACATTGAATGGAAACCCAACCACCTTTACCTCTAATGCGACGGGTGAACCGGAGGCAAAAGGGAGGACGACAAGGCATGCCTGTCACGATCTGGTGTGATGCACGATAATCGATGGAATAGTATTACACGCCCCGAGTTCAACATAACAAAACAAGAATGTGAACTGATTATATTAGCAAGAGTAGATCGATACACAGTGATATCACGCCACAAAACGGAAGTTTACAGTAGCCGAAAAATATGCACCGTAAAAAGCTCATAGAATTTTTTCTACCACCACTAGGATCATTGCGAAGTGCAGACGCAGTGGCAAGGTTTTTGAGAGGACAAGTGAAACAAAGTAAAACTGGACTTGTTCTAACAAAGATTCGAACAAATTATTTCAATAAATTTGCTCACTTCACTTCTCCGAGTATGTGTTATAACTTACTCGACTGGTACAGTTTCCTAACTAGAGAGAAAGACCCGGCTCTTGCGAATTGTGCCCCGAAAGAAAGTGCAAATAAACGAATTCGTAATTAAATTATTCTACGAAAGCTAGCTGCCAACGTTCTACCTCACTGTACCGAGAGGAACATAGACCCGCAAGATTACCCGCGACCCCGACAGAAGAAAAGACAGAGACTAGCAGTGGAAGCGATTTTATAGGCCTTAACCCAAGACAATACAAGGTCTATATACTTTCATATTTACAACCCAGAGAGACTCGTTATCGGTAGGCGACGTAATTGTCACCCACAATGTTAGACGAAGGTGATTGTCGGAGTGACGTAATTGAAATCCGATAACACTACCAAGGAGACAAGCACGCAGTCGATAAGTGTCGCTGAGGGAGAACGGAGATAACTGCTATCTAACAAAGTTGTCACCACTAACGCAATGCGCAACTGTCACATGGAAATAGTAAGGAAAATTAGGAGTCGGAAAAAGGCATCCGGTGAGAAGTCTTTGTGAAACGATGGTGCCTACACAACGGCAGCCTAAGCCAATACATATGCGATGATAATCGATTTCACATACAGAATGCATACGAGAAAAAGCTTAACAATGTCCGCAAGGCGTTCATTAACAATACTGGCTCACTTACTTGCTAAGAAACTAGCTAACAAACCAATTTCGTTCTTGGATTTGTCTTTCCGTAACGCTTAATGAAGGCAAGTAGCAACGGCCCAGTCCTACGAATGCAGCAGCACAGTAGCTCAGAGACCTGTTTATGAGACGGGTGGATTTAATCTAAACAGCGTGCGAGCTCAGCACCCTCATTAGTGAGGAGCTCGAAGGTACACTGTCAGAAGAAATCACAAGGCGATCCAGGCTACATAACATTCGACTGATGAAACAGTTGTTCAGTCTGTGGTCCCATAATTCATGATTCATCGGCTCCAGCCAGTGTAGACGAAAGCAGTATCACAAGTCGCAAGCAACTGTCAGTGGCTGCACGACAGCAAATCATCAGTAAACGCTTGAGTACCGCTAATAATTTGATGTTTTTACACAGTGCCTAAGATAGGGTATACATAGAGGGAAGTGAGAAACAGCCGGAGAGACTGCACAATGATGTTATTTCAGTCTGAATTTACAGCTTGATAATGATAATTAAAAATCGAGAAAATATATACATTGTAAGAAATCCTGTAGGTACATTGCCTGTTTGTAAAAAAACGGCATGGCTTGTATCGCGACCAGTGTTAAACGAAAACATACTCACTTGTTTCAACTGAGAAAAATCCGTTAACGTTTTTGCGAAGTTGATTAGACGGCGAACTAGGAAACGAGAGGTGTTAACGAGACTGCTCAACGTCAGGTCTGGGCGTTTTAAGTTGGAACAGGACTCGTCTTGCACGAAGTTCGTCTCATACGCATTCCTCAGGTCGTTAATCGCGGTCCACTGATAGTGAGACAAAAGTCGAGCCATATCATCATCATTCGGATTGTGAGTGCTGTGAAATCGGTGATTCTAAAAGGACAACGAAAACAGACCTAATATGGTGGTAGCTGTAAAACGCAATTATTTCAAGCATCGGACGTCAACTGCTGAACATCAGAAAGCACTGGATAGTGATGAGGCTGAGATAATGGTGTCTGCTGACGGGTGGGAAGTTAACAAGGTAATCGGCAAAGCTAAAGCAGTTTGGCTACAAGAGTATCATTAACACAAGCAGAAACATCAGCGCGCTGCAGCAGACGCCTATGCAAATCACCGCCGTACTGCGCATTTTGATGCTGATTCTTAGACCATCCAACTACCACGCTAAAAAACGGAACAGAGAAAGTGGATCACCAATGTGAAGTTGCCGGTGACAGTCGAAGGGCAAAGCGTGTGAGTGATCTCAGCAGTCTAACAATTAGACAAAGTGCCAGAAGAAAACCATGGAGATCAGCAAATAAGGGATAGTCGTCGCGTCAAAATCATCGTGGCATAGTAGTTGAAGGTGAGCAACACACTTCAGCTAATATACCGCAGGAAGAAAGTAACATTCTGGAAAAAAGTAGAAAACATTTTTAGTTTGTTTTTCACACGCCGATTTTTCTCTTTTTTGTTGTTTTCAATGTCTGGAGTATTAAACATATAAATCAATACAATTCTGCACACAATTCTTCCACTGATTCCGGTTGCGGGCCATAACTTCAAGAGTGTTAAGCCATTGGCACTCCTCATCTTTGGGTCCCCATCCTGGAAGACGTACGGGTCCAACAGCGGCTAGACACGACATCAGCGATTTCATGTGCTGCCGCCATGTAGAAGGCTGATCACCACGCGGTCGCCTCCAGCCAGGTCCTTGACGAGCGAATAGAGCGCGACGCGGTAGACGCTCAGGTGTCATGCGTAGGACGTGACCGAGCCATCTTAACTGGCGCAACAAAACCAGTTTGTTGAAGGGAATACTCGCATTCCCAAAGAAGCGACGTCGAACGTCATTACTATTAACTCGATGTTGCCACCAAACACGAGCGATCCTCCTTAAGCAACCGTTATCGAATGCAGAAAGACGACGCATGTCTTTCACGCGAAGCGGCCAGGACTCGCACCCATACAACAATACTGAGCGAACTGACGCGCTGTAAACGCGGCCCTTTAGTGAGAATGAGACGACGCGACGACGCCACAAGTGCTTCAGATTGACAAATGCTAATCGAGCTTTAGCGATACGAATAGAAACTTTGCTGATAGTGCCGTCAGCAGAAACACAGCTCCCAAGGTAGACGAAACTATCTACCTGTTCAAGTTGTGCACTTTCGAGCGTGAGCACGGAAGCAGGTGAAATCCGATCCTTGAGCAGTACTTTACACTTCGATGGGGCGCAGCTCATGCCATACTTAGATGCTTCAACCGCCAAACGATCCAGAATGAGTTGCATACCCTGAGGATCGTCACCAAGTAAGGCGATGTCATCAGCATAATCTAGGTCGTTCGCGCGCTCCCCCAGTAGAAGCTCTAGGCCAAAATATTGGAAACCTTCTAGAGTATTCAACAGAACGTCTTCGATTGCGAAGTTGAAGAGGAATGGGGACATAGGGCAGCCCTGTCGCACACCGCTATTGACAGCGAATTGCGAGGAAAGCTTGCCATAGATCCTCACTCTGCCGGATGTATGAAGGTAGAGTGCTCGTAAGATGGCGGTATATTTCTCTGGCACCCCGTTCTTTAGCAAGCAACACCATAAAGCAGGTCGATCAACGGAGTCAAAAGCGGCACATATGTCTAGGAATGCAACGATAGTGGGCCTGTGATAAATGTGGCGATGTTCCAGGAGCTGGCGGAGCGTGAAGATTTGATCCACGCATCCGACGCCAGGACGGAAATCAGCTTGTTCTTCACGGTAGTATGATTCACGTACTAGGGATAGTCTGCGAAGCAGAATGGATGCCAATAGCTTGGAGGCAACCGAAATAAGACTGATCTCGCGATGAGTTACACATGAAGTACGAGCGCCTTTCTTGAAAATCGGGACAATAACTGATTCGCCCCAAGAGGAAGGCACTTTCTCTTCATGCCTGATTTTTGCGAACAGCGCGGTCAGCTGGTTAATGATCGCCACACCGCCGTACTTGAATAGCTCCGGAGGAAGTCCGTCTAAGCCGGCAGCCTTGAAGCGCTTCAAGCGTCGAATCTTGAGGCAGACTTCCGCTTCGCTGGGTGGATTCAGTGGGACGAGCCAGGGTGGACAACAAGGTGTACTGATGGATGGTGGTGGCCAGTGGAACTGCGAGTGAAAGTGCTTGGCACAGCGGTGCATACGCCTCTGTTGGTTGGTACTCGGAGACTCATCCACCTCACAAATGACATCACTGACACCAGGCTTTTTGAGGCAAGTGGACCGAGTGAGTTGGAAAAGCCTGCAAGTGTTGCCAGAGAGGGTAGCAGTCTCCATCTCTAATGCATGGTCAGACCACCATGTCTCGCGATCCTTGCATAGGCTTTGATCGAGCAGCCGGTTGGCAGAACGGCGCCGCTCGTTGTAATCTGATTCCGCGGGGATATCTTTGCGGCGTTCGAAGAGCTCCAGAGAACGAGCAGAGATCCAGGCCTTCAAGGGGTGTCGATTTACACCGCAGCATGACTGTCCGAAAATGGTCATCGCTTTCCGTATACAACTTCAGTGTTGTTCCACTTCTTGCGGTGGATTGCAACTGAGTGCATATGCCAGTGAAGACTGATAGCTCGCCTGGACAGAGGAATCAGTTAATCTGTTTACATCAATCTTGTGGTGCTTCGTGTTTCGGGATCCTCCAAAACACATACAGATTTTCGCGCAGACCAGTGCATGATCTGAGTCAACGAAGGTGGACCAAAGGGACCTGCAGTCCAGTTCGCTGCCTTGCCATCTGAAGCTAATTGCAATGTGATCAATTTGAGACCACGGTTGTGTTGGCGATGGGGGACGCCACGTTTTGTAACGCTTCTTCCTAAGCCTGAAGTCAGTGCTCGCAAGAAACAGACGGTTATCTTCGCACAATGTGAGAAGTCTCTCTCCGTTATCAGAGCGGTTCTCATCGAGCGCGTGATGACCACCAAGGTGGCGTTCGTATGGTAACAGGCGACCAACCCGTGCATTAAAATCCCCAGCAAGGATAACGACATTCGACTTTTAGCATTAGTCAAGAGCTGATGTAGATACCGATAGAATTCGTCCTTGACCGAGTCGCTACTGCATTCAGTTGGAGCGTACACAGAGATCGCAAACAAGTTGCGTCTCTCTTCGTGGTGCCTGTTGATTCTACATGAACCCCGAAGCCGAACTGCACATAGTCGGCTTTTAATGGGGAACTAGTCCAGTAGTGCCGCCTCGACCTTGCCACTTAGTGCTATACCTACACTAGCCAAACCCGCTAAGGCTACTTCTGGATCTTCAGAAAGACGCAGGTAGTAACTGGCTTCGTGGTCAGTGGGGGATGTCAATGTAAGCACAGTGCTGGGGTCTTGCAACCGGGTTTCTTAAAAGCAGTAGACATCAATGTCTAGGGACTCTAAGGAGCGCGCTATACCGGTTTGCTGTCCAACCTGCATGACTGTCCGAACGTTGAAGCACGCCAGACGGAAGGAGGATCGGGCATACCATAAACACCGGGCATTAGGTTGGCTTGGGAGCCCCCTAAGAGTTTGTCTAAAATGACGAAAGTGATGGGACCAACGTTGCAGAAACCCAGCTAGCTCATTGTAAGATGATGATTGCCAACGGAGTGGAGTGACGAATGTTATAAAGCAGGCGAGTCTAGTCGATCCGGTATAAAAGATATGATCTAGCGTGCCAGAAGCATGGAACTTGCAAAATATTTACCAGAAGGGTTACCTCTCACCTAAGGTAATTATATCCCTACTGTCGGGGACGTCGTTCGACCAAACCCAATGTGAAGTTTCGCTTCGATGGCACTGGTTGAAGGCATCCGGTTCCGGATTTTCCTGTCACTGTGATCTCTATAGGGCGGCCACAGGTCGCCTGCGCTTACAGAGAGACGATGGGTGACATGCGCCGCACAACCCACACACCCCATATCCAGTGTACATCCGAAGGAATAAGACTGGAAGGCATGTGGATGGGAGCCACGTTTTATCTACGGAGCCAGTCCACACTCCTCCAAGATGCACAGCAACAGCATTCCTGCCTTGCCATGTAAGTAATCATGCGTACCAGATTACTGAATACGGAGAATATGTAGCTAGTAGAGTTGTATCTGGGTAACTAATCTAATATCTTTTAAGCGAATCTACCTATTATGATGATGCTTCTTCTCGAAATCTCAAGTCGACAAAGTGCGAGTCCAGGAGTTTTTAAACTCCGCCACCGATTTTGCTTCGACTATCTCTGCAGGCAGGTTGTTCCAAGTATTCACCACCCTCTACTCGAAGCAGAGTTGGTGAGCGACTCGCTTCAAATCCGGTATGACAAGCCTGTACTGGTGTTCTCGTGTGCTACTTGGTGTACGCAGATGAAGCAGCGACCCCAACATGGCGTAATCATCCAGATGTAATATTCAGTGCGTCATGATGAGGTCAACCTTAGTCTCTTGCACTGGTCTTCATATGGCACACCACGTAAAGCAGGGATGAGCCTTGTGGCCACATGCTGTACCCGCTCAATCCTTTGCACCTCGCCCCGGGTGATCTGTATTCTAGCATAGGTCTGATAATAGAAGAGAAGAGACGAGTGGTGACCTCTTCGCACCAAATGCAGAAGCTGCGTTTGAGCGCCCAGAGCATGCGCATTCCGTTTTGGTACAGCCTGTTCGTGTTTTTAACGGATTTCAAATCGCAGCGTGAGAGTGCGCCGAGATCTTTCACGGATGGCGATGGGGGTAACTATTGGCCGGCCAGATTGTATACTCGGCCATTACCACCCTTGCCGAGACCCATGAATACCGACTTGACCGAGTTCATCGGAAGGTTGACCTTTGCTGACCACATAGAGAGGCGGTCAAGGTCAAGCTGAAGCAGGTCGCAGTCGTTGGGCGCCTTAA